AGTTCCAAGTCAAAATTCAAGAATCTGTTTTTTTCGAAAACTACTCCTTCACAAGGAGTTGAGTAAAAAGTCATTATCTTGACCAAATCTAGACATGAACAGAAATTAGTCAGAGGTTTTGCTATTCTCGTGATTCTCTACATGTGGGCACAATATGCAAGCAAATGAGCGAGTCACCAGGAAATATTATTTCATAAGCAATACAAGGTCTGTTTACTCACTTTCTGTAGAGGGTCAATAGCTGTTAACCATTGTGCATTACATGTTACCTTCGAAGACACTTAATTGGCTAAAAACACGTCACTTACATGTTATAATATGTTTGACTAGTAAGTTTTGTTGTCAACATTTTCTGTACAAACCAACGTAAACTGACAGCCCTGAAGGCATATCCGCGAAATTTGATGAACGGTAAAAAGTGGAAGTTAATTCAAAGGATGGGTGGCGTTAATGCCACTTTTCTGACCAATATGCTTTCATGAAATAAATATAGGACAATAACAAGTTTGATATGTCCTATAAATCTAGTATAGTTACTTCGTTCGAAATGATAATAGAGTTTTTGATCCCTGCACATCTCACAGGGTTATGAAAATCTTTTTTGTCAAATATTTTGTTTTCTAAAATAACTCGACCTACCAAATCAACTATGCTGCTGACGACTATCCCTATTTCACAATACAAACGTGTAGTCCTCAAAAGTAGATCAATTATGACCTATATTCAAATTTTGCATCCTACACTGCCTTCTTGACCCTTCTCTTTGAAATACTAACCTATTAAATATACCAACAAAAGTGTTTCTCGATGTCGATTTAATGGTTCCATCTAAACCAGAACAAACAGAGCTCATTGACCACACCCATACCCACACCTTCAGTACGACTGACTAGCTTTCAACATAAGTGAGACTATATCAGTTTACTGCAGTTTGTCATGCTTTATGACGATATGACATTAAATTTTGAAAAAGAATGTGGCATTATATTGAATACTGCGATATACTAGCAAATCTACCCTATTTTACTCATAATTTATTGACATCTTCGTCTTTATAATCGATTTCAATCAAGTCTCTTTCTGCTCATTTTTTTGGATAAAAAAACCTTTCATAACCCTGCGGGGGCGTACAGAGATAAAAAACCCCATTATCATTTCGAACAGAGTAACTATGCTAGATTTGTAGGCCATATCAAACTCGTTATCGTCTCATTTATATTTCTTGAAAAAAGTTTGGTCAGAAAAATAGCCTTAACGTCGCTCGTTCTTTGTTCATACAGTAGATACGGGTTATTAAAACTTACCAGTAAAAAGTATTCTAATGTTAACAATTCAATCATCTTGAGGCAATTAATCGATTTCGATTCGACTCCATACGCTGATATCTACTTACTAACTTCTGGGAAACTTGAAACACGTTCCACACTCTGACTAGTTCTACTGCCTTCCCAATATATACATCGTAAATCGTCACACATATTATTTTTACGAAACTTAAATGCTCAATAATCTATCGCTTCTTCTATGTAAACACCATTTCTCAGCTTTATAAGCCGGGATAAGGAATACAGGAAAACTATTGAGAATGTGCGAACTCATCAAAGTAAACGTGAAGTATCACTATGTATAGTATTCTTTTGCTAAAGTATAATTTTTCGACTAAGATTTTAGAACTCATGTCAGAGATTATATCAACCATAATGAAGCTAGTATTTGCAACCCGTTTTACTGATAAAATATAGTCAGCAACAAGGATTTAAGCGAGTTTTTTTCAGATTTTTCTTACACTGGCTTTTTAATTTTGTTTCACATTATTAAAGGGTGCGGACCTGATTGAAATAGCGATATAGATTGTATGAGACGGCGACTACATGATCCTCTGTAATAGGATGGAACTTTATCTCTCTATATAGATTTTACATATTGAAATTTTTTTCGATGGAAAAATAGATTTCAATGTTTTCCAGTATTTCGCATTTTCTAACCAAGAGATTTATGGTAAAATGAAAATAAAATAGGTCAATCGATAGAGAATTTCATGCTCTATCAGTGTCTGTAAACCAATTTTGTTCGATAGTCCATTTTTATTTCCAAAAGTTGATTTTAGTGAGAATTGACAAAACACACAGAAAAGTGGAATAGTTCAATTCTCATCATATTTCAATACATGATTTTTTTCAGTTATTTCGACGAGAAAAACTATGTTTATAATATTTTCAACTATATAGCTGGATAGAGTTCAATTTTCTTTTTAAGACGCAATCAATTTTATCTGCACCTATCGTCGAGTCAACGAGCTTTAAGATCAAAGTCTTCATTTATGCGATGTCGCTGTTTTGAAGTATTTCAACTTTCTGTGTGCTTTCCCTCTTCTTACAAAAATCAAGTTTGAGAAGTAAAGATGAACTGGGGGAAAAAATTTGTTTATAGAAACTGATATTATAGTGCGTCATGTAGCTGGCGTCTCATACTATCTATATCACTATTTCAAACAGGTCCGTGCCCATTAACAATGTGAAAGAAAATTAAAAAAGAAGTGTAGAAAAAAACTAAAAAAAAAATTAATTCGATTAAATTTTTGTTGCTGAGTATACGTCTGATAACTTATTAATAACTACAGAAATTTCGGCTGACATGAACAGTTTGTATTAGAACATTGATTTATTATAAAAAATAACGGTTCTCGAAAATAATCATGTGACTACGATTCTATCGAAAGATTCCTAACTTCGAAACTTTCTCCCATATAAGTATTCAGCCTTCTGTCTACGATTCTAAACTAGTAAGCACATTTATCTGATTAGTTTTGTCGACTAAACAAGTAAATCATATGCCTAAATAAATACAACTGAACTTAGACATACCGTATAAACTTAAACTCAAACGTAAGATAGATCGTTTTATCTTAATAATATAAGTCGTGTCACATACTCACAAGACAAATTGTTTTTGGAAAAAAAAACAACGACCTAAAAAAAAGAACCTAACGACACATCAAACAACGCAAAGCTACAACGAATGTAATTTGATGTAATTAGATCGCCTAGTTCGTTGCTCGATAGTTAAGCTAATAGTACATCAAACGTTGAATTTGAAATGATGAAAGCGAGATAAGGATTAGGAATGGAATAAAGAGAACTGAAGGTAACTGGCATATATGTCGAACTTGAAAGCTGAATTCAATTCAACTTTCAAGTTTCAGGTTTCAAGTTTCAAAATTCAAGTTTCAAGGTTCCAGTTTCAATTAAACTATCAAGTATCAAGCTCAAAGCTTGAAGCTTCCAGTTTCAAGTTTAGAATTTCAAGTTTCAAGTTTCAATTCAACTTTCAACTTTTACACACACACCGCATCTCGCTTGATAGACGCGACGGAAACACACATACACACCATCCCTCTCAGTGAATGTTGCGGAAAATCATTCACAGATTGTCGGCGGAGTTTGGGATCGAAGTAAAGTTAGTCAAGTTGGAGTGAGCGTGGAACGTGGTTTAAATGGTTGTAATATTTCTGTAATTCTTATGGCTATGAGGAAGGCATTGAGATATTACATATAGAGGATTGAAAGTTGAAAACTAAAACTTGTGTGTATTGGAAAGTTGAAAAAAACGGAAATTCCAAGGAAGTACTTGATATGGATAGAAAATTGGTTGATAAACAGAAAGCTATGGATGTCTCTAGCAAACATTATCGCGATTTCATCCTAGCTAAAAGAATCATCAGATGACTTTCCCTTTACATATGTTCAGGAATGATTCTAACAATGGAGCTGTCTCTTATGCTACTTGATTTATTTTACTATGTTCGGGTAAATATATTCACAGGATAGAAAAGAAGTATGTGTAACTTTTATATACAATACTAATTTTTTACTTCCTTTGACTTTCGATGAACAAACAGATAAGAATATATATGTTTCAACTGGGAATCAAAGAATGTGTGCAGGTGTGAGTGTGGGCGATTAGAAGATCTCATAAACACCCACACTCATCTCTTCTAAACTATGAACTTCACATGCATCATACAGTCATAGAATTTTACGTTTTCTATGCAATGATACAGAAGATATCAAAAAAAGACAACCATATAATGAAATAAAAAAAGATTTAATTGTGTTGCTAGAATGAGCATATTTTCCAAAAGTATATTTTTACTGTAACGAGTGCGTCGCAAAGAATAACGATCTGAATACTTACTTCAAATTTCTATATTCTTCTCGGTCTTCGGCTAGATTCAATTCCTAAGAGAGTTCAACATTCAATTTTACATGGAATTATCTGGATCTAAATCATGCAGAGGAAGACTATAAAAATTGTACGACCAACAACGAAAACATAAAGGATCAAAAACCGTCAGAGACTTTTTTCTGCATAAATTTTAGTTTTCTCTAAGAGTAAAGCACTGATAGCAGATTCTCTTCGAAAAGTACTTGCTCTATCTAGAGTACACTTTGCAATCATTCACATAAATGAATATCCAAAGAAAAAATATTGATAATCCATGGAATTTTCCTAACCTTGGCCTTGTTTAAGCTTAGTTAGGTTATATATGTGGATTTGATCTTCTCTTCGACCGCACTCAAACTCAGAATGAAAATAAAGCATTCTAGATTTCTAGTAAAAAGTATTTACTCAATAATCTCATTTTAATTCGGAAAATAAAAGTCTTATAAGAGTAATGTGAAGTTCTAAATCATGATGTATTTTTACAATAAATTGATGCCATCGAACCGCTTTTTGAGTGTAGGTGTAGATGACAGACTGTCACTCATATCCCACATCCGCACTCACACCCTCAAAATTTAAAAAAGAACTGCGCCGTCTACGTGGAAATGATTAGAAATGTCTGCCTTGGATGGCAATATTCAGCTCGTATCAAACAAGAAGACACCATAACACACATATTTAACTAGTGAAAAAAGATGATTCGTTGTGCTTCGCTGTAGGCGTAAGGACGCACTGCTATCTCCATGGGTTGTGTCATTGAAAGAAACAGAGTTGATATGATAAGGATGTCGTCGTATTGGTGGTTGACACAACATGCTGAGTCTCCTCTGCTTCGTGTAGCCGTGTTCGAAGGTCCATCATCGTTGGATGGTGATGTATCCCAAAATGTGGTTGAAGTGGAGCATGCAATGGAAAAAGCTAGTCGAGAATACAATGCACATTTGCTTGTCTTTCCCGAGCTCTTCCTTTCTGGCTATGGTCACAGTCGAGACACGACAATGTCAGCTGCTCGTTTCATCGTTGATTCACAAGTAATTGCTCGTTTGCAAAAACTAGCTTGCCAATATTCAATTGCTCTATTCATCGGTTATCCGGAGAAAGCCAACGAAACGATATACAACTCGGCAACACTGATTGATCACCAAGGTGAGATATTGATTAACTATCGCAAGACTCATTTGTGGGCCGAGAAAGAACGTCATGTGTTTAAAGAAGGAAATAATTTATCGCCTGTCGTTCAACTGTGTGGTGTGAGAGTGGGTGTCATGATTTGCTACGACGTTGAAATGCCCGAAGTGGCTCGTGCTTTAAGTGTCCTTGGAGCTCAACTCTTGCTGGTGGCTACAGCCGAAGCCGCATCACCATGGTGCGGAAACGTTGCTCATATTCTTGTTCCTGCTCGTGCTTTGGAAAATCATGTTTGGGTAGCATATGCTAATTTGGCTCCGCCTCGTTTTGCTGGTCTGTCGCGCATTGTTGGACCCGATGGAAAAGAACTGTGTCGAGTCGAACAGGACAGCATCATTGTGGCTGAGCTTCGACCTCAAGACTATCTGCATCGAATTCAAGCGACGCCCTACTTGGCCGATCGACGACCTTCTCTCTATTCCTCTATTAGTGACACGCAATTAGCAATTGCACTTCCTCCAGACTACAAGTACACCAGTGGTTAAACGTTGTTAATCCACTGGATTTTCATTTCAGAAGAACTATATCGTGATTCCTTTTACCTCTATTCTCCTCGGTCACCGTATCTTATTTGTCTAGATAACCACTTTTTTGTATTGGATACAAATTAAATGAACTTGGGGATCCCCTGCCCATGTCTAAACCCTTCGTACAAGTGTCAATGTGAACATAGCGCACATCTTTGAGACAAGAAATTTAAAGAATCAATAGCAGTACTGATGATCTTGATCAATGATTCATGCATGAAAACAAATGTTTTCTATGTCAACATCAATTCTGCCAGTTACTTCGGCACAGTAGAGAACGAGTATATACTCTTTATAAATAGTACCTATAGATATATTAGGATGTGACCATATATCGTCTATGATCCTATAGTTTTGATTCCAGGCAAGAGTGTACTGATTCATCTGTCAAGATTGCATTTCAAACATGAAACAAAACTTGTGTACCCAGAGTACGGGCGTTGATAGATAGTTTTCATGTTATTCACACTACTGAAATCACTACGGCTTAATGTTTGAGCTTTTTATCACATGCTGACGATTTATACTGTTTCTACCAAGGGGGAAAAAGCGTATTTCTAGGTATTTCTAACTATTGCTAGGTATTTCCAGGTATTTCTACGTAGTATGGGTAGAAATACCTGAAAATACCTAGAAGTACTTAGAAATACTTAGAAATACATGGAAATACCTGGAAATACGGAAATACGCTTTCGCTCCTAGGTTTCTACGTTTTGGCACCAGATACGGAATAATCTTGGGCAAGTTACTAATGGCTGTTTGGTTCTCACTGACGTGTACGATATCATATTGACTACGTTGAGAGACATACACCGATCTTTTTGTGTCTACTATGTGGTTAGTCCTTGTGGACGGAAAACTCAAGTAATTGGCAAGAGAACTCTGGAAGAAGGCTAGTCTTCTGCACAGAGCTGCAACTAGTACTAGTTGTAGGAGAAATCTCGAACTGTCCAAACTGTCTGTGGACAGCATTTTATGTCACAGGGTAGCTGAAAATCTAGGATATTCTGCTGCCTGTTATCCTATGAGTAGTAATTGGGAAAAGTTTAGATCAACTCCACTTTTGAGTTTTATTCTCGATAGTAATAGCCAGAAATAATTTGAAACTACATTTGAGTAGCTGAATAGACTGCTTATCAGGATTGACGAGTCTAAAACTATCTTAAAACTATGGGGTGTGGGTGTGGATGTGTTGTTGTTCGGATGATTGTCTTTGTAGGTGTCTCTTTTTCATTCATCCAGACTCACACCCACACCTCACCCTGAAGGTCATCCAGACGTTTGCTAGACCGACTTTGACTACGAGAGCAAAACTGTTGTTCACTGTATGAACAGCGCTAATCTCAAACACCACACAGAACTCATCCTACTAGTGCCTGAGACTTTCGTTTTAGTGTCTTTGTTTTTTTTATTGTTTGTACGTCCCAAATAATATAAATCAACTATGATGTTGGAATACAATAACATCATCATAAACTAATGCTAAAAGTAAATGAAAGAAAAGAAGCAATTAGCACATGTTCATGAGACGATCGACATCTAGGTTTAATAAGAGGAGGGTGTGGGTGTTGGTGTTCTCTCGATTTACTGCTGCGCCACACGCCCACACACCCCAGTAACTTCGATTTTTTATTACAACAAGCTCTAGTAATATGATTCACAGATGTTTTTTATTCTGTTCTTCTCTATGAATCAACCGTTTGAGTCATGGCATTTTAGAACAAAAAAGCGACATATACAGAACAGAAAAATGTCGACAGTTGTCAGAACGATTCTCTCTACCTTTACTTAATTACATACTGAATTGCACAACTACCAACTTGCATGTGTCATATACATTACAATACTAGATACTCATATCAACCGAATGCATTACTTCAAAGGCTACCACACGTACTAGGTAATATTTTTGTTTAGTTTTGATACGATTGAAAACTGGTATAATTAGTAAACTTCAGAACTACTTCTGTCACTCAGCAACGTTGCTTGTAGACACTTTTGAAAGCGAACGAAACGAAACAAAACACAATCTTGCTTGATGTTATATCGAGACATCTATACATATGTTACCCTTCATCTCTACTAACCTATCATAAACAAAGCAGTGATACGCTTTTGTTTTTCTTTGCCGTTGTTGAATCATCCACTTTCGGGATACATACATGTTACTAATTCTGTGAGATATCCTATCAAAAGTGACGAAATCAGCTTTCATTACGATTGTAAAAATTTACTTTTCAGATTAATATTAAGATGAATCCTTCTCCTACGAAACCAAGTTTTTGGTATTGCGATGTATGCAATCGCGTTTTTGATCATGGTGCGTTTCGTTACAATTGCACTGTCTGTCCTAATTATGATCAATGTAAGGAATGTACAGCGACGATGTGCCCACCACATCCTCACTCTTTAGTTTCCGAATTGGCTTTTGGCGATGGAGAAAACACAACTTCTAGTGGAAGAACAATGGCATTAGCAATTCAAGCAGCGATGGAGATCTATTGTGATCGTCACTGTCTAGGAGTACGAGACTTCGATAAAGACAATCCGGAACACTATGCCAATACCTACTCATGGCAAACCTACAAGGCAGTGGGAGATCGGTCGATAAATTTTGGTCATGGGCTACGACATTTGATCGAACCACGTGATTATGTTGGCATTTGCGCATCAAATCGACCCGAATGGGTTATTTCAGACTTCGCATGCATGTTACAAAACTTCATTAGTGTACCGATATATTGTCTTTTGAATGATCGTGATACTGCTTTTATTGTTAATAACACGAAAGTATCCTTGGTCATTTGTGACAAAGAGATGCTACCAAAATTTATCCGACTATGCTCAGAGTGTCAATCACTCCGCTATCTCATTTGCATGGATCCAGTTCTCCACACGACTGCAGGTATACATAGATAGTATTCGCACTTCATGAGTCCTTATGGGTTATCTAACAAGTTTTCTTGACTCGATTCTCTCGATTAACTTCTCGCAAGCTTATTTTTTCTGTTTTGGAATTTTGTAAAATTCAACGAAATTCTTCAGTTTATCGTGAACCTTGTGAGTTGTAGAATATTACTGCTGATATGTGATGAAAAATCATCCTTTCTTTATTCATTTTGATACATGAAAGTCGCATTGATTGTATAAATTTATTTTGTTTTAGAGACGAACAGCAATGAATTGTTGAATCCATATTCCACCGGTTCTTATTGGCCGTTCTCGAATTTTGATGAATCCAGTGAAGTACCGAAAGAAAAAGATGGTGTTTCGATTCACTACATAGGTGATATCGAAAAAGCGGGTTCTTGCAAACGATATAATTATGTTTCTGTCGAACCGAACGATATTCTCACCATTATTTATACAAGTGGTAGCTCAGGCTTTCCAAAAGGAGTCATGATTTCTGACGGTGCTTTGAGAAGTCTTTTTCCAGAAGAGCTTTTACCATCTACTGGCGAACAAGTGACGTTCTCCTATCAACCACTTGCATGGTATGGTGGACGAAATCAATTGATTGGAACGTTTCTTCTTGGAGGACGTGCTGGATTCTTCACAGGTAATCCATTTCGACTGATGGAAGAGATGGCTTTGGTGAGACCGACGCTTTTTGCTGCTCCACCAAGTATTTGGAATAAAATTTATTCCGAATTTAAAGCAGCTCTTGCGTTGACCATGGCCACTACTTCCCAACAACGTTCTGAAGTAGAAGAAGAACTTTTCCGACAATTCTCAAAATTAATACCATCAAGATGTGAAACGATCGCTATCGTTGGTGCTCTAATCAGCCCATTAGTACTTGACTTTATGCGCAAATGCTTTCGACACTGTTGCATCGAAGACGGTTACGGAATCACAGAATGTGGAGGTATAGCATTCAACAATCGTTTTGATCCTACTGTTACCTATCGACTTGAATCAGTTCCTGAAATGGGCTTTACAGTTGAAGATCAGCCTTTCCCACGAGGTGAACTTTTAACAAAAACACGTCAACTGTTTTCCGGATATGTCAATAATCCGGCGGAAACACGAGCAGCATTGACTGATGACGGTTTCTTTCGTACTGGCGATATTATTGAACTACGTCAAGCCCGAGACGAACCGCCGTATGTCCATATAATTGATCGCAAGAAGAATTTCTTTAAGCTTTCTCATGGACAATTTGTCTCTCCCGAATATCTGCAGGGTATCTTCACTCGAAGTGCCTTCATCGAACAGATCTTCATTCATGGTGATCTATATGAAGACAGTGTCACCGCTGTTGCTGTGCCAAATCGAAATCGTGCTCAAGCGTTTGCCATCGAGAATAACGTAACATCTCTCGAATCGGATCCGAAATTCTATGACGCAATGATGCGTGATCTGCATTCAATTGCCACCAAGGAATCGCTTCGAAAGCATGAAATTCCATCACGAATAATTATAGATTTCGAACCATTCACCGTCGAAAATGGGTTGCTCACTTCGTCCTTGAAGCCTTGTCGTCCCAAATTGACTGCTCATTATGCAAAGCGATTGAAGAAAACGAACACGTTGGAACAACAGTTGAAAAACATTATCGAAACTGCTACAGGTCAATCGTTGACAACCGATGACGATGCTGGTTTTCTAGCCACCGGTGGAAACTCCTTAACAGCCGTACGTTTATCACGAATGATCCGCGAGAATCTCGGAATCACTCTACCACTCTACATACTATTCGAACCTGAGACGAATCTCAAACGTTTGACAAAATTCGCTCAAAATCCTTCATTGATACAACAGAATTCGATCGTTCCGCGACTCTTACATGATGCTGAGCTTGATCTCAATATTACAATAGGCAAACCAAAAGCGCTTGTTTGCTCTCCAACGATGGTTTTCGTGACAGGTACAACAGGATTTGTTGGTGGTTTTTTATTGTTTGAAATGTTGAATAGATATCCGGTCGATTGCAAGTTTATTTGTCTCGTTCGATGTGACCAGTCGACGAATCCATTGGATCGTATTCGAAAGAACATGGCTTTTCTTCATTTGTGGCAAGAGCATTTTCGAGAACGTATCGTACCGCTACGAGGAGATCTCGCTCAGACTCACTTTGGACTAGACGACAAGACTTATGCATCAACTGCAATGCAAATTGATCTCATTTTTCATTGTGGTGCTACCGTCAATTTCTTTTTACCCTATAGTCAACTTTATGGTTCAAACGTTTGTGGTACTCGAGAGATCATTCGTCTTGCCACTCATTCGCCCAACTGTATTCCTATACAATATGTCTCGACTATCAGTGTTCTGCCACCGGGTATTGTGGAAGAAATGCATATTGACGCTATCTCACCGCATCGTCTGACCACTGGTTATGGACAAAGTAAATGGGTGGCAGAAAAACTTATAAGAAAAGCTAGCTGTTTTGGTCTACCAGTTGTCACCTATCGACTGGGCTCAATGTGCGCTAGCGCAAACAGTGGTGCCTGCAATCCACTCGATCTTCATACAATATTAATCGCTGCTATCTTGAAGACAGGTTTCTATCCGACTGAAGCTCTCAACATCAAGCTTGACTCTTCACCGGTGAGTTTTGCTGCGGAAAATATTGTTCGTTTGAGTCTCGTTCGACCTGATATGTATGGAAATGTCTATCATATTGTTCATCCTGATGGTGGAGTGGCATTTCAGAACATTGTTAGAAGCTTGAGATTGTGTGATGTAAAGGTAAAAGAGGTTCCCTTCGAACAATGGCGATCAACAATCCAAGGTCATTCATTTGAATCGGCCGATGAGCTGCTATTCGATTTGATTTTTGGAAAACGATTGACATTATCCGCCAAGCAATTTTACAGTATTGTTTCTCCACTCAATATTCCGGCTATGGACAACGACTACACAAATAAATGGTTAGCATTTATAATGCAAAATGTTCGATAATGATAGCATGTCATTTTCTGTAATCATGTGAATCATTTTTGTAATATGCTCGGATCTTATAGAAGCAACAATACATTCAGATAGAGAAACATCTTTGATTACTCAGCTGCAGTGCAAGATAAAACGAATAGCATAAAGTTCATCCTGAAAATTTTTACGGAATCCAAGAGATATTGATTCCAGTAAATATTTGGATAAAAGCTAAACTTATTTTAAAAAAATATCTGAATTGATTTGCGCATACAACAAAATCAAGATCATTTTCGTTTCTTGTATTCTTTTGCCTACATTGTTTTGGGCAACTAAATATATGTCAAATAACTTGTACAAAGAATTGCCCACTTTGTTTGATTTGACCGTATACATTAGACATTTGAAAAACTACTACTTCTTTTTCCATAGGTAACTGTCAAAGAGATGGATGGCGAATGATTGATTTCGTTCTGGATTGCTGTGCAACTGAACAAGAAGTGCCGAGATTTGGAATTAAGTGATTTTGATAATGCATCTTAGTTGAAGCAATGATTTAAGTACGTCAACATTTGAGCGAGATTTGTCAATTATGACGAAGCAGTTTTTTAATATCACGTGCTCATGCTAAATCCTTCGCTAAGCGACCCATATAATTGATGGTATCAAGATGTACATCCGAAGCGATAAGTAATTCTATAACAGATCTTGTCAAATCGACATCTGAGCATCTCGCAATAATATGCAATGGCCAGTTTCTTTTATTATCGCAAATTTCGTTTACGTCTGCTCCATATTGCGTCAATACACGAATGATGAACAATGTTGAAAGACTAAACGAAACAGAAGGGCAAGTGTGGGTGTGGATGTGAGTGAGACGGTAGGTGAATACTAACTCAACAGGTGGCGCACACGCACACCGTCTTCAATGACTAAAAATACTATGGAACATAAAAGACAACGTCTACTAGTCGATGATCATTTTACAAGATGAACTAGTAAAAAATCACACAAATTGGCACAATCTTTTTGGAAAGAAATTTAATGTCTCTCAACAAACATTGAAAAATACTTTTCGTAATCCTGCATTGTTTCTGACTCAAATAGCCGTAGATATTATTATAGACCTTTTAATAGAACTCGTAATTTTTTATTTGAAAAGAACTATTGATCCAGGAGTACAAGATCGGTTAGATGCTATATTTATGATTGCTACAACGCAAACGTTTAGTACAATGACAGAGTTGGAATCACAAACTAAAGTTCGTGTCTTATTTGCACATGTGAGTTTTTCATTTCAATTGATGATACAGAAAAAAAAGTATTTATCTGGCAGGAAAATAGTAGCGGCTACTATCAACCATTGACATTCTTCTTAGCTAAATTTCTATGGATTGTATTGCTGGTGTGAAGTTTGGTTTCGATTATATTTTCAATAATTGCTTACTCCATGATGGGTTTAGAGCAAAATGTTGATAAATTGTTTATTTTTCTTATTAAGATTTTTCGCGCAAGTCTGTTGTGATCAATAGTATGTCTGTTTGTTGCGGCTCAGCAAGTCATTATGGTAAGCTTCCTTTTTTCTGATTTAGAAAATTAGTGTAAGCCATAATGGTGGCGTAGGATAGGGTGTGGGTGTGGGTGTGGCTCTGAGTGTGGATATGGTTGCTGTTGTAGTTCATCTTCTCGTTCACACCTGCACCTATATCCACACCGACACCGACACCCTGTTGATTGAAGAAGATTATGCTCGAGAAAATCGTCGGCTTTACTCTTCAGTCGTGTCCTTGTTATCCTTATCCTGACTTGATTGATCTTTGATTTGAAAGCCATACGATACACAATGGAAATAATCTTCTTATGCAAGAATAAAAAATTCCTTTTATTTGCGACACACAATCTATGTCAAAATTTAATGACAATAGACGGGACTTCGTTTTCAATCAAACATTCACTTCCCAGGGACTTAAAAATGAAAAAAATGCCATTACTTTCGTGAATTTTAGGTCAGAAACACGAAAAAAAATGACATTTCTGATGATGAAATGGACATTATTTTTTATGTATTTCATTTTCATCCATGAAAATAAACATTTCAATCGATGAAAATGTTTTCATGGATGAAACTGAAATACATTAAAAATAATGCCAATTTCACCATTTTAATAGCATTTTTTCATATTTCAAGTCCCTGAGTCTCACGATATTCGGCCAAGGGGGAAAAAGTGGATCCTGGTGGATCCTGGGATCCATTAGGATCCGCCAGGATCCATAGGATCCACCAGGATCCACCAGGATCCAGTAGGATCCATTAGGATCCATTAGGATCCACCAGAATCCATTAGAACTCATTATCATTTATGAAGATAAATTAATGTTCTAAATAACCACAAACGCAAGGAAATCAACCAGATTGATAAAATAAGAATGCATAATTCAAAATATGTTGTAA